TGCTACTATAAAAATTAACGCCAGTCTCAATACCAAAGGAAAGTACTAAAACCAATGTTAAAAGCCAACGGCGGCAATCACGAACAGGTTTTAATCAGCAGGCTCACTTGCCAGGAACACACTGTATGCGCGCCGCGGTCTGTCAACGGGGGGGGGGGTGAGCATATATATATATATATATATGCTACCGCAACCTGAAAACATCTGCACGCTACGTACCCTTTCAAAATCAAACGTCAAGTTTTGACCACCCCCCCAACCCGACCCGTGCAAATCATCTATCGCAAATCTTAAATAAATAGCCGCGCTCCAACGAGGCACCCTAAACCTTAAGTCCTCCAACATAAAACCTTCAACCCGAACGCCCTGCCTGAGCAACAAGCCCTGAACAAAACAATAGAACTCTAAACTCAACTTCCAGCCCAAAACCTGAAACCCTAAACCCTAAACCCCTAAACGCCGAAACCCTAAACCCTACACCCTAAACCCTAAACCCTGATATCAACCTCCAGCCCCAAACCTTGAGCCTTGAACTTTGCCTTGAGCCTAGAACTTAGGGGCCTTATCACATGGAATAGGTTTCGGGCATGCTGAATTTAGGGGTTTAGGGTTTAGGGTATGATCGTGGGCTACAAGGGAAAAAACTCTAGGCCCTGTATTACCCCAGATTCGTCGGTCCATTTTGAAAGGCTCCACATCAAAGAAGACACGCTCCCCAACCTTTGATTGAGAGCTTCTGCTGCGTTGCGGTTCGGAAGTTAGATCCCTGCCTTAGTGAAGATGCTATGAACCCTTTGGACTTACTTCCCCAATAAGCCAGGAGAATAGAAGGTTAAACTTTCAGATTACTACTAAACTATAAGAGCCCAAAGAGTTCAAAGCTTTGGTACTGGAGAACTAAGTGGGAGTTTCCGAAGTAATGGGTACCTTATTTTGGGGTCTTTATAATAAGGATCCTACTATTTAGGGTACTATATTAGGGTCCGCTATTTTTCGGAAACCCCCTAGTAGAAGAAGATGGGCCCATCGGGTCTGGCTCAGAATGCCTTATAAGAGGTTCTCATACAGCGCGCTTCTGAAAGTGGTGTTGAATGAGGATCTCTTGTCTTTTAGTCTACCCATAGGCCCCAAAGTAGCTCCTCTTGTGGCTTATATTTAGGATCCTGTTAGCTGGGCTTTGAAGTAACCAGGGAGAAAAAAGTATAGACTTTGATTTTATAATGGTTCCTTTGAGGAACAGGTCCCCCAAAAAAGTATTAAGGTATGGTACTCCAAAGCCCAGTTCATCCCAAAAGGGAACTACTATGGGGCCTATGGCTAGGGTAGACGTCGGGACTGTGATGTATGCTGCTGTCCAGTACTCTCTGAAGCTCCCTGAGATGAGGGTTTAGGTTTAGGGTTTAGGGTTAGGGTTTAGGGTTTAGGGTTTAGGGTTTAGGGTTTAGGGTTTAGGGTTTAGGGTTTAGGATTTAGGATTTAAGGTTTAGGGTTTAGGGTTATGAAATCCCAAAGCACACTTTTAGACCCCAAGCCACAGCAAAAGCCCAAGACCCAAAACCATCACAAGCACCCCACAGCCAAAGCTTAAATCTAGCAGCCCCGTCAGTAGTACACTCAGAAGGGAATAATAGTCGCGTGGACGCTGGAAAGCCCGGAACCCTGACCCTGCACAGCCAAATCCTATATTCCAATCACCCCGAAAACTTGTGAAATCAATCCACAACTCCGAAAGCCTGCGTCTGCCCAAAGGGCCATAACCCACTAAATCAGCCGTAGACTTTGTTTACGGGACTTGGCATGTGAAGGTTGCAGGGCTTGGGTATGGCAGGGATATTGCAATAGAGCGTGCTGAATTTGGAGCTGGCCCGTTGCTGGCTACGGACTTGACGTTTTAGAACCTGTCGAAGCATCATGACACTACAGCCAACCTGCTAAGGGAGCTCTATGGTGCAACATATACCATCATTAGGACTTTGAGATCTGAGAGACCCTAAACCCTAAACCCTAAACAGCGCACAGCCTTGCTTGCCTCAGGCCTCGAACCTTGAACCCTCAAGGCCGTAAAAGACTCAAGGACCTCTTGGCATTTAAAAGGCTTTAGGGTTTAGGGTTTAGGGGTTTAGGGGTTTAGGGTTTAGCAGAGGCGTCAAGGCTTGACGTAGACCTCTGTGTATAATCAACCACTCTTGTATGAGGATCAGGATTGACAGGTGAGCATCCCGCATTGAGGGAGAAAGACTTCTTCGTCAAGGTCTAGTATAAGAGCCTTCATAATTAGAATCGGGTTTCGGGAGATATGAGATATTGAGACATACTTGTAGTTATAGAACACACCAAATTATTGAGGCCCCTACATTATCTCACCCCTCTCCCAAAACCCTAAACCCACCCCATTAAAGGCTAATGTTACTTGCTGCATCTTCTCGGGAGAAGCTCAAAGGTTGTGGCCCCCGCGCGGCTGACCAAGACCCGACCGCGTGCAGAACACCGGTTTAGGGTTGGGGGGTTTGGGGTTTGGGGTTTGGGGGTTTTGGGGTTTAGGGTTTTGGGGTTCAGGGTTTGGGGGTTTTGGGGCTTTGAGTTTGGTGGTTTTGGGGGTTTTGGGTTTGGGTTTTTTGGGTTTAGGGGTTTATAGCATTTAGGGTTTTAGGGGTTTAGGCGTTTAGGGCTTAGCGTTTACGATTAACCAAAAACAACACGAAACCCTGCAAGCTCTCTATGACACATACATACACATACCGTAGGGGCCTTCATAATCAGAACAGTGCTTAAAGTATATTATACTAAAATCATACCAAGGACCCATTTAAGCTTCTTTTTTTTTACAAGAAGTGTCAATTCCTAAGGCTCTGCTTGGAGGATCATGGGACTTAGTAAGTAAGGTTATAAGTACCCTAATTGGCGTTATAATTATAGTTACCTTATTTATAACCCTAGTTACTAAGTCCCATGATCCTCTAAGTGCTACCGGGCTGCAGTGGGCTGGCCCCGGTAGTCTTGTGCTTGCAGGAGGACCGGCTGTTCTGCGCGGAGCGGGGGCGCTTTGGGCTGCACGCTTCTCGGAACGGGCGCCCTCTTCAAGGTTTAGACTGGTTTAGAGTCCAGGGTTTAGGATTTATAGGGGGTTTAACTTATATTAAAAAGGGTTTAGTTTAGGATTCGGGTTCAGGGCGAATGGGATTTAGGATTTGGGATTATGAAGGTTTAGGAACTAGTTAGAGTTCTGAGGTTAGAGATTCGAGCCTTGGGCTTTGGGGGCTCACGGCTGAGAGGAGCGTTTTTCATCTTCAGGGCTTGCAGCCTTTAGGGTTCGGGGTTGACTTTGGGGTATGTTATACTATAATTATGTATAATGAAGAAAAATAGTATAGGTAATTATTGACGCCCCTATACTCGAGAGGGTTGAGACTTGAAAAGTTGAGGCTGCTCGGATTGAAGTATCCCTTGGGCTCAGGGCTGCAGGGTTGGGGGTTTCAGCTTTTGGATTACCGTTCAGGGACCAGGGATGTAGGATTTTGGGGGGTTTAGGGTTTAGGGTTCAAGGATTAGGATGTTGGGGGTTTAGGGTTTAGGAGTTTAGGGTTTAGGGTTTAATTTTTAATTGTTTAAGATCCGGGGTTTAGGGTTTAGGGGTTTAGGGTTTAGGGGGTTAGGGTTTAAGGGGTTTAGGGTTGTTAGCGGCCTGATGGCTTGTCAAGGCCCCACATAGTGACGAGGACTAGTGTGGAAGATCAAGGTTGCACCGGTGCTAACCGAAAACAATACCAATTGGAACCCTAAACCCTAAACCCTAAACAGCGACACGCAGGCAGAATAGCACAGCCAGGGTTAGAGGGGCTTTAACAATGACAATTAGAAGCATCCTTCCAATCAGTATCGCATCCCAACACCCAGAGCCCTAGCAGAGCTCCAGATGATCCCCCACATGCTGCGTCTTGAACCGCCTATGGTACTCACAAAACACCAAGAGGAGGCCACATACACAGAGCCCCAAGAGTGCCGGGATCTACCATGGCACTTACAAAATGCCCCAACAAAAAGGCCTAACTTCGCCTCAACAATCCTGAAGCAACTCAACCCTAAACCCTAAACCCTAAACCCTAAACCCTAAACCCAAAAAAAGGCCACATACACAGAGCCCCAAGAGTCCCTCCCCTAGCCGCGATTCCCTCACTGGGGACCAGGCTGTAAACATCGGGCTCGATGAACCCGAAGCCTGCTGCAACAAAGGGTTTAGGGTTTAGGGTTGAGGGTTTAGGGTTCAGGGTTTCGGGTTTAGGGTTAGATTAGACTAGCAAAAAGCTGGGGACTATGAGGGGACTATAATGGGATTTTCTGAATGAGTGTTCAGATGCCTTTTACCAGGAGGGTTAGGTCTTAGGGTTTCAGGTTCCGCTACCTTTGCTAGGGCTCAGCCCAGACTGATGTGACATAGTGTTACCCCAACCAGCGCACGGCTTATGCAGTTTATGGCTTACCATTACCATCACCAGGATCAAACATTAGTAGTGCTATATAGGGCTCGTAGGCTTTATCAGTACAAGTAGCAATACCATCAGCAAACCAGTACTCTTACCAATGTGCTGGCTATCATGATCACTATCTGTGCGCCTCCGCTATGACATTGACACCACGACCACTAGCATTACTGATATCGGTCTCAGCACAAGAAATGTGATTATTCTGAATCGTTCTAGCATTCTCCGCCTTTAGGCTCTACCCAGAGAGCCCAATACCCCTTAATTAAAGAATATACCTTAAATCACAATATTAAGGCCCCTATAATTTAAGGTATATTCCTTATTTAAGGGGTATTTGGCTCTCTGGGTAAGCAGTCAAGCTGGGCATCTAGTGGCTAGCAGTGTTGCGAAGGTGGAGTGCGCAGCCCGGAACCTAAGGCCGACCACAGCGAGCTACTGAGAGAATCTAGGACGCAGCAAGTAGGGTTCTAGTCAAGGCAATATAGCTATAAGTACTGATGACCCCACCATAAACCCTAAACCCTAAACCCTAAACCCTAAACCCTAAACCCTAAACCCTAAACCCTAAACCCTAAACCTATGGCAATTTCATATAACCTTACCGACTGAGTGCCCTGATCTCAAGCGAGGATTGCCAGGTTAACGGACAGCCTAGAAGACTCCTACATCGTCATAAAGCCCTAAACCCGAAACCAGAGGATTCTGTCAAGGGCACGCAACTCACATGCACTGCTGACTGCAAGTGGCCTTTTTCTGGATTCCAGAAGCAAACCTGAAGTGAGGTTTTCAAGCATGCTGGAAGCGGTCGATTTCTTCGTGTATGTCAAGGCTTCATATCTAACAGATACCCCTGCATGCATTTCTGCGTACCGCTACAGATGCAAACCGTCAAAGATAGCTGTCTCACATATCGATGCCGAGGGAAATGTACGGTGCTGTGCGCAGCTGTTTGTTACTGGCTGTGCTGTCCTGTGAGTCAGACATATACATACACATCACATGCACGTACACACACACACATGCACACATACAAACAGACACACACACACCTATTATATATATATATATACATATACATACATACATACATACATACATACATACATACATACATACATACATACATATACATACGTCCAGCATACATATATACATAAATACATAGATATACACATACATACATACTTACTTGCTGACATCCATACATACATACATACATACATACATACATACATACATACACACGTACATGTATGCATGCATTCATAGATCTTCACAGATCTACAAACATATACAAACGAACGAACACGCAAACAAACCAACAAACACACAAACAACCGACAAACCGACCAACCGACCAACCGACCAA